TGAGGTGTGCAGGAGGTCATAGGCCAGCCTGACCTGACACTGAGACTTGGTAGGGAGTGCAGAGGGGTGGCAGCATGCCTGGAAGGGAGGTAGGGACAAGCTTTCCAGGCAGCACGAACAGACTGCAAAGGCCCTGAGGCAGGAACTGAACTGATGTGTCGAGGCCCAAGTAGCTAGAGAGGATGGAGAGTGTACAGGCTGTGACACCTACTTTGCTTTACCAACTTAATCCAATGCTAAGAGTCTTCAGTTGTGGAAAGGTGATTTGAGATATATATATACATGAGACATATATATATATGGTCTCATGTAGTCCAGACTGGCCTTGAATTACTACATAGCTGAGAATAACCTTAAACTGCTGGTCCTCCTGTCTCCTGCTTCTCTAATGCTGGATTTACAGAGTGTGCTACCGTCCCAGGTTTATGTTATGCTGGGGGTCAAACCCAGGACGTTTTGATGCTAAGCAAAGGCTCTACCCGTTTAGCCACACCCCCCAACCCTTGTTTACTTTTTATTTCTTGTGACTTTGTGTTTGCCGAATGTCATCATGTTTTCTCTCTCCAGGTCTTTTCGTTTAAATGGTCTAAAATGTTTACATCCCCAAGTCTTGCTGGAGCCTGAACCTGGGAAGGGAGGGGCCTTGGCTTCCCACCCATACCCCTTTCCTGTCCAGGGTAGCTATGATGAGGCAGGGTCACCACCTCACCACAAGGTCAAACCCAAAGCCGCCCCAACCAGCCCCCACCTGAAGCACTTCCTGCCCTCTCCCTGGGAAGCCAAGCCACTGTCTACACTGTATGCTCCCCAGGGCCGTGGGAACAGCAACCAGCCAGTCCTCCCCTACCTGGGCTCCTCCCCCTCCAACTCTGGGGAGGGCAGACCTTGAGAGAGAACATAATACACACAAAAATCAATCTTTGAAAGCAGGACTGAGCCCCAGGATCCTGGAAAGAAATCCAAATCCCAAATGCCAGCCAGGGCTCCAACTTATGGAGTGCACCCTGGGAGGTAGACAGGGACAGGAGTCATTTGACAAAGGGGAAACTGAGGCCTGTCCTGTAGAGGGTCAGAGCTGGCCACTGTGGAAGACCATGTGAACATAGGGCCCCACATCACTGATGTGGGGACCCCTGAGCTCAGGCTCCATGTCCCAGGCCTTGCCTTGTCTCCACAGAGTGTGCAGGGGTTGGCCTCGGGTGACCTTGAAACAGGGACTTGGCTACAAGGTGTAGTAGAACTAAAAGGCTGCAGGTGACAAAACCATCTCTGCATCCCCAAAAGAACTTCTAGAGAAGGGAAGAGCAGGGGACATGCTTCTCCCCAGATGACACGGTTTCACTTCTACCCTCTCCTCTCCACCTGCACTGAGGCCAGAGCCTTTAAGGGCTCCCCGGAGGCTGCTGGGTACATTTTAGGCATCCCCAGAAGGTCTGAGGCTCAGGGACATGGAAACTATCATCTGGGAGCTTGGCAAGCCTGGGCCTTCTGGGACGAGGCAAAGACGGAGGGACAGAGACAGAGACTCAGGAAACCTATGGGGGCATTGCTCTTGCTCCCAAAGGTGGTGACTCACTCTGATGGACAACCAATGGCCTATCATGGGTCACTTCTACAGCCCCTGACCTAGTTCTGCAGTCCAGCTCCGAGGCTTTACCTAACCCTGTAGGCCTCAGATCCAAAACACCCCCACTCCCCTCCCCCTGCAACCTTGGCCAACCCGGCCAGGTCAACCCAGAGTTGGACCCAGAAATTCCAAGTCCTGCTGCCAAAAGCCTTACCAGCCAGCTTGGGGGGGCCAAAGTGATATCACTTCCTCTCTTTGAACTTCATCATGCTGTCAGGTGCAGGGCCTGTGACCCACCATCTCACATGTGTCTTTGCCCTGGAAGGACAGACTTCCTAGAGTTAACAACTCAGCTGTGTGGGAAGGAGGGCTGGGATTGATGGTTGATGTCTGCAAATTTGGTAATAGTGGTATATGCATGTTATTTATATGACGTCTGTTACGATCTTATTTGGGAGACTGGGGTGGGGGTGGACATCTGGAATTGGAGCCCTTGTTTCTAATGATAACCAAGAGACCCCAGAGGTAATGAGCTAGTTTCTTATCAGTTCAGTACTGGAAACTTGTTTCATTATTCGCAGTCCTGGGGTCACAGGGATGAGCGGTTCCCAGAGCTAGATATCTGGCAGACCAGATAAGAGTTGAACTTCACAACTAGAAAACAAGATGGAAAAATGCCCAGATCCTCAATAAGAGATGAACTCTGTCCCTCATGGATAAAAAGGAGTAGAGCCTGTGTTCGAAGGACAGATGTGGAGACTGGTGGGGAAAGGCCAATGCCTAACATGGGCCCCTTCCCTCTTGGGCTGAGGAGGGAGATGAGTTCCCCTGCCCATGAGCTGGAGCTTCTGGCCTCAGCCTCTGAGGCATGAGAAGAGAACCCAGTTCCGGAAGCCTTGCTGTGGACCCTGCTCCACAAGGTTGCAAGGTATTAGCAACTTTGCTGGCCTCATGAACACAGCCTGGAGGCTGCAGGAAGCGTTCCCTGGATGCCTGCTTTGTGGGGGCGGAGGGGGGAGGACACCCAGAATGGGTGTGCTCTGACCCTGTGCGTAGAACAACACAGTACCCACCCTGTTTCCACACACTCGCTCCTCAGGCATGTGTTGAGCATCTTCCACATGCCAGGTGGACATCCCTTCTGTCCCACACCATCCAGAGGGACCTAGTTGGGGATATAGGTGGGGAAGGCACAGACATGCAAAGGCCAGAAAAGGGACTGAGATCTCACATGAGAGAAACCATTGAGTGGGAAGGAGGGGGGAGGGAGACACAGATACAGAGGTGGGTCAGACCTCACAAGGCCTGGCTATGCGCAGAGTGCATGAAGACTTCCTTACGTCCATACTACTTCCAAGAAAACAGTAAGATTGGGAAGACAGCCTTGAACCAGAGACCTCTGTGAGGGAAAGTGCAAGAGAGACGACTCAGGAAGAGCCACCCAAGAAAGGGGTTAGTTGCTGTAAAGGTCCCAGGGTGGGAATGAGCCTGGCATGTGAGAGGAGATCAGCAGGGCTGGTGTAGAGTGTGTGAAAAGGTGCATATACAGGAAATGAGATTCATGGCGCAGCAGAGGCCCGCTCAGATCGCCAGCCGTTTCTCTGTGCAAAGGGCTACCGCAGCAGGATGGACGGCAGAGGACACATGGCAGCAGACCAGGGCTGGTGAAGCCTGCCCTCAGACCCTCTGCCAACCCCGACCCCAAGAAGGCAGGGCAGCAGTGAAGGCTAGCCCCCACTTACTGGAGGCCCTGGGTGGCAGTGCTTGTCCAGGGAGATATTCTCAATGCCTGGGAGGAAGTGGTGTCTCCCACATCAAAAGGGCCACCCCTCAAAGCTCCCACACTTGGTGGCATGGGAACTGTGCTGCAGAAGGTTCTCTCAGGCAGTGTGCAGACTGCAAGAGGGTGTGTGCCACCTTGGGACTGTCCCCTATGACATAGAAAAATGCCGCACCATCAGGCTCCACACAGCCAGCAGCTCCCAGCAGCATAGGCCTCAGAGAGAGAGAGAGAGAGAGAGAGAGAGAGAGACAGAGACAGAGACAGAGACAGAGACAGAGACAGAGACAGAGAGACAGAGAGAGAGAGACAGAGAGACAGAGAGAGAGAGACAGAGAGACAGAGAGAGAGAGACAGAGAGACAGAGAGAGAGAGAAAGACAGAGAGAGAGGTTTTAAAGGTTTTCTTTAAATATGAGTGTGGCTATTATCTCAAGAATCCTTTTCCTGGGGTTTCCCAGGGACAAAGAATCAACAAGATGGGGAATCTTTTGGACCAGACTTTGGGCATCATATATTAAGGTAACAATCTGACTACCCTGATTGATAGAGGCTGACTGGAGAGCTGTGTTATAGATTCTTTGAACTTCAGAGAGCTGTGATGGATTAGTCATGCCTGCCACTGGTAGGAGACAAGTGGGTAGTGGTGTGTATGCTAAATATTTTCCTCCCTGCCCATATTACACACAGTCCTGAATAAGAAGAGGGGAGTTCTCATGAGGCAGAAAGGAAGGGGAAGTGAGAAGGTAGAGATGAGGGAAGGACTTCAACTGGTATGTCCACACAGTGTTTGTAGACAGGTGAGAAGGAAAGCTGGAAACTGTGCCCATCTCTCTGCTGCCCCATAAGTATTAAGAGTAACAATTAGGGTGGTGGCGTTCTCCAGGAAGGTCTTGAAGGGTGGTGACAAAGCCTGAGGCAGGTCACATGGGTGCTCAGCCCTTCCCATTTTGGGTCCTACTACACTGCAGAAGGAGAAGCTCTTGAATTTTCACAAGACTCCTCACTAAAGGTAGGGAAACTGAGGCTCAGTGCCTTCATCCCACTTCCCCTGGTCATATACCTCAGGACTCAGAGCACCCATCCCTCTTCCCCTTTCCCTCCTCCCATGGGAGCAATGCTGATGACTTTACAATGTCCCAGCCACTTCCCCAAGGATGGGCCTAGATGGTAACAGTATTGACGATGGTAATGGTGACAGTCATCATTGAATGACGGTGACGGAATGATGGTGATGATGATGGTGATGGTGGTTACAGTGGTGGTGGTGATAGTAATTGTGATGCTGATGGTGATAGTGACAATAATGGTGGTGGTAACAGTGGTGATGATGGTGATGATGAGGTGGTGGTGGTGGTGGTGATGGTGATGCTTTCATAATATTCCTTAGCTTCCAGGATTTGTGCTTCTCTCAGCAAACAAAAGGCAGGTACCACATCATGCCCATTCCACAGATGGAGAAACAAAAGGTACAAAGGGTGACATGATGGGCCGTGTGTCACCACCAGTTAATTAGTGACTGAACTAAGAAACACAAGCAACTATGGTTGACCCCAAAAGGCAAAAAATAGTTTTTTCCAAGGGCTCTTTCTCTGAAGAGGGGACCGAGTGAGTCCTGGTGTGTGCTCAGTTAAGTGGGGAATCTTGGAACAAGAGACAGTAGTATTTCCCAACTTACACGTGTCCTGAATTCTTCCAAGTGTTTTGCAGGAACCAGTGCTCTATAGAACAAACCTTAAGAGAAACTAACTCACTGATAGTTGAGTTTCAGGCCAGAGAAGGAGAGGGAACTGGGGCACAAATGCTCTGGTGGAAGAGGCCATCTGTAAAGTGAAGAGGAGTTTGAGCCTGGGATGTGGTTCATTTGGTAGAGAGCCTGCCTCATTATGAAGTTCTGGGTTCAATCCCCAGCACCACATAAAACTGGGTATGGTAGAACACACTTGCAACCTCAGCACATGGGAGGTAAGGGCAGGAGGATCAGAAGTTCAAAGTCATCCTTGGCTACCACGAAAGTTCAAGGCCAGCCTGGGCTAGAGCATGTCTAAAAACAAGAGTCAGAACTAGGCCTAAGGGTGTTTCCATTAGAATCCTCTGACTGTACCCATCGCTGATAGGAGCTCAAGATGGAATAGGGTTTCCTGGTACCTCATCCAGATGACAGAGAGGCAGAGGAGGTGGGGTGTGACAGGAGGAAGCCTAAGGTAAATGCAAGCCAGGATCCTTGCATGGAATGTTGGGGCTGGAGTCCAGCTGGGATCTCTTCTCATCCCCACAGGGTTCCGGCGCTCCCTGTGAAGAACTTGAATGGCACCGGCCCTGTCCACCCAGCACTGGCAGGTAAGACCCAACCCAGTGAGGCCCTGCCCACCAGCCTCATGATCCCCACCACTCTGGTGAACTTATAGGTGGGCCCAAGAGTGGCCCTTCCCATTGGGTTACCTTGGCTGCAACTTGGGGTGACGCTCTGGCAGGGTCAGAGTCTAGGGTGATACCCTGGCCTCCATCCTCTGTGGCATCCATGAAGGGAGGGCGTGGCTTGTCACGACCCCGCCCCTCATCACTACAACTCCCCCCCCTCCCAGGGATGACTGGGATCCTGCTGTGTGCTGCTGGGCTGCCAGTGTGCCTGACTCGAGCCCCCAAACCCATCCTGCACCCGCCCCCTGTGAGCAAGAGTGACGTGAAGCCCGTGCCCGGAGTGCCCGGCGTGTGCCGCAAGACCAAGAAAAAGCACCTCAAGAAAAGTAGGCCCCCGTGTGACTACCCCAGCACAATCCTAGTGCTCTTAGGACCCAGCAGGCACCTGCCTCTGCTTGCCGTCGACTTGCCCTTCATCCCCTCCTTCCTGCCACTCCCCTACCTGCTTCCCAGCACTTGCCCCTACCCTAGCCCTCCTGAGACATGCCCCCACCCCCATCTCTGCAGGTAAGAACCCCGAGGATGTGGTTCGAAGGTACATGCAAAAGGTGAAAAACCCACCTGATGAGGTGAGCCAATCAAGTGGGACCTCGGCTCCCTGGACCAGCTCCTTCCAGCCGCCTCTCCTCCTGCCCATCCTGGTCTCACTTTCCTCACCAGGCCCCGGGGGAGGAGCTTAAATTTAATAGAACCTCACCTGTCAGTCATTGTGATGGGCTGTTTTATGCCATGTTTTCCATTCAGGGTTTTGCTTTGGGTAGTTAAGCATTTAAACTCTGCTCAGGGGCGGTCTGGGGAGCAGTCAGAGCCAAGGTTGTCCATCTCCCCATCTTCAGTGTCCCTCTATGGCCTTCTTCACTTCCCTCATCCTCAGTTACCCTCCATGGTTCTATCCAGCTTCTGTTGCCCTCCCCATAGTCTTTCCCATGGCCTCATCCTCCGGGCTCCTCCTCATGGCCTCCCCATCCTCAGTGTCTCTTCCTGGCCCTCCAGGACTGTACCATCTGCATGGAGCGGCTGGTCACAGCATCTGGCTATGAGGGTGTACTCCGGAACAAGAGTGTGCGGCCTGAACTTGTGGGCCGCCTGGGCCGCTGTGGCCACATGTACCACCTGCTCTGCCTGGTGGCCATGTACTCCAATGGCAACAAGGTGGGCCACAAGGTGGGCTGCCGTGCAGTGGGTGGGTGCCAGGCAGTGAGTTGGGCAGTGGGTGGGGACCAGGTGGGACCCCAGGTGCCTCTCACCAGCACACTCTTTCCAGGATGGCAGCCTGCAGTGCCCCACCTGCAAAGCCATCTATGGGGAGAAGACAGGGACACAGCCACCAGGGAAGATGGAGTTTCATGTCATCCCGCACTCGCTGCCTGGCTTTGCAGACACCCAGACCATTCGCATTGTCTATGACATCCCCACGGGCATCCAGGTGAGCCCTGTAGACCACAGCCCCAACTCTCTCCGACCCTTCCAGAGCCTCCACCTGTCTGTGATCTGAACCCTCCTGCTGTCCCCACAGGGCCCTGAACACCCCAACCCAGGGAAGAAGTTCACCGCGAGGGGCTTTCCTCGTCACTGCTACCTACCCAACAATGAAAAGGGCCGGAAGGTGGGTGTCCACAGGCTCTCAACAACGAATGCGGGCAGGGTTCCCTGCCACCATCTTCTAGGCCTGTCCCCCCTCCTTCGTTCATAGTCTCTGCTGTGTCATTCCTTCCCAAGCCACCATGCTTAACAGCAGGCCCCAAACCTACTTCCATCCACCGGCTAAAGAAAACTTCAGAGAGGGCAAGTAACTTATGCACAGCCACAGAGCTCAAGCAGCCCATCAGATTCTTCATCTACACACTTAGGTTATCCGGTTTTCACTCGCTGCTTAAGCAAAGAAGCTAGCGACTTCGATTTTCCTGTGAAATCTCCAGATCTTTAATCATGGGAACTAATTCACAAAATGGTTATTTAGTGCAAAGAGTGGTATCTAAGCCTCATCTATAGTGATGACAAGGCCCCAAAGAAACAGACCTTTATGTAGTGGATGGTAACGGAGAAGGCTGAGGCCTAGGCTGCCCGTAACACTCACCCGCTCCCCAACTCCTGCAGGTACTGCGGCTGCTCATCACTGCCTGGGAGCGCAGACTCATCTTCACCATTGGAACGTCCAATACCACGGGCGAGTCAGACACCGTGGTGTGGAATGAGATCCACCACAAGACAGAGTTCGGTTCCAACCTCACTGGCCATGGCTACCCCGATGCCAGCTACCTAGACAACGTGCTGGCTGAGCTCACCGCCCAGGGTGTATCTGAGTCCATGGCCAAGGCCTGAGTTTCCCGCCTTTCCTCTTGCTTTGCCCCTAGCCAGGCACATACCTCCTTCCACCAGGCAGGAGGAGCCGGAAGTGCTAAGGAGATCTAGCTGGTGGCTGTGGGGGTGACAGGAGGACACCAGGCCAGCTGGCTCCAACCTGTGGCTCCCAGCAAGGGCAACAGAGATAGGATGGCCAGAGAGGGTGACCTCCCTAAGGAAAAGATGGAGCTTTGCCCTTCACGCCACACACAAGTGTCCTGTTGCACGCACGCGCTCACGCACGTACACTCACGTGCCTCTGACTTCCCCCAGTTTGGGGGGGAAAAGAGAAAGGCTCCCATTGACATATCCTGTGGATTCCACCTGTGTCTCCATCACATCTGTATAGGCTCGTCCCCTTCCCAGGACTTGGGTCAAGAACTGAGGGAGTGGGGTGTCTAAGTTTTCCAGGGGTTAGTCTGCCCCTGTGCCTCACCCCCTTAACCCATGTCAGCTCTGCCACCTGCCCACTGGGGCACTGCAAACCAATGGGGTAGAAATCCCAGGTTACAGAGTAGCTTTTCGCAGGCCACTGGGGACGAGGCTCTCTTATTTTGTGCTTGTGTCTATTTATCTTTCTGGGACCCTAACCTCTTCCTCCTGTGCTCATCTCTAGACCTCTGTCTATCCCAAGCAAAGGCGTGGTTCTTGCCTCTGTACCTGCTTCTCCCCACCACTGAACCACTCCAGACATTGAGACCCAAGAGCTGTAGCTTCTGGCTTCAGGAGCAGGGGGAGGCCTTATTCAGGCCCACACATTGAAAGAGCAGGAGGCAGAGTGTTAACTTCTTGCTCCTTGGAAGTGGGCAGTGGGTGGCTGATCGTCTCAGGCCAACCAGAGGCCCGTTGCCCAGGCAACTCACCAGCTCCGCCTCTGAGGATTGGCTGCTGTGATGGAAGTCAGCCAAGCTTTAAAGGGACGCCAGCGATTGCTCTTTTGAAAAAAAAAAATTCTACCAGTCCCACTGTGGGTGGAGAAATAAATGGTCTTTCTCCTTGTCAGGCCTTTTTCTGCCAAGAGGGTGCTGGGTGACTGCTTCCAGGGAACACTGGGGAAGAGACAGCTAAGAGACAATGGTAACCATAAGGCCACTGCCCAGGGCAATGGGAGAGGCAGTGGATGGGCTCTGATACTGTCCTTGCAGCATCAAGGGAAGGAGGCAGAAATCTCCTAGTCAACAAGGATGCAGAAGTGACAGTGGGCGCGCACGCGTACACACACACACACACACACACACACACAAGTGACAAGGATGGTGGAACTCTGTGTGGCCCTACAGGAGGATATGGAAGAGCTGGGAGATCCCATGTCAGCCCACTGATGCCAACCCTAACCCTGGAATATGGAGCAGGAGGAAAAGCTTCCCTCCCAACAGCCTTTGGCAGCCCCAGGAGTACCAAGCCAGTGGGAGATGATGCTCTGGCTCCAGGCGGCCCCTGCTGGCCACATGTTTGATAGCATCGCACCGTCCTTAGTGCTCTTGATCCAGCCGGGTGGACTTGAGTTTCCAGCACTCTCCTTAGACACTCGGGTGTCTCCACAGGCTGTACAGCTCTGCTAGCCTAGTGTTCCCAAACATCTGGCCCTCTGTGGCTCACTCTTAAATCATACCCCAACCCCACAGTCCAGACTTGTGAGCCCCAGAACTCAGATGCCTGCCTCCAAAACCCTCAGATGGGTTCAGTGGCCAGGCAGGGCCTGGAAACCTGTGTTTATATAGCTAAGAATCTTCTCACTGGCCCCCAGGGTGCCCCAATTTTAACACTTCACAGCTAATCACACTCACTCATTCACTTTATAAGGATACACTGAGGCTCAAAGAGGGGGAAAGAGCTTGTGTCCAGCGTCAAGGCTCCAAATTGGCATGCTGGGCTCCCAGCCCGGGCCTCTGAGAAAACCCAGTTCCAGAAGCTTGAGGTTGGGGCCACCAGATGAGGGTGGGGTACAGAGGATCTGTGAGGTCACAGGAATCAAGGGAAGCTCTTGGCTAAGTCTATTTAGTGCTTTTCTGAGACAGCCAGGAAAGCACACCCAGGCACAGCTGTATCCAGCAGCTCAGGGTGAGATGGGCTCCACAAGTACTGGAAGAGGTGCATCCAGTGGTACTGAGACTCTGGGCTCAGAGAAGAAAGTGAGGTCTGGTCAGTACAAGGCTGGACCCTGCCAAAGGCTCCCACACGCTGGCTGGCCACAGGGCACACAGGCCCAGGCTTTGTCTGGGAGGCTCCAGGCTACAGCAGTGAAGAAGGCAGCCTCAAGGAGATGCCTAGGCCAGACTGTGCTAATGGAGACCCATGGCTCCTTGTCCTCAATTGGCTCTGGCACCTCCTCAGCATCCAGCATCCTAGCAGACCACTTGCCCCTGTCCCCGCTTCTGGAACTCCTCATGGGCTTGCTCCAAGTCTTCAAGTACCTGCAGCAGATGGGTGATGGCAGCTCTCTGCTGCGCCAGAACCTCGGTGCAGGTCTCTGGAGGGAAAGAGAAGGCCACAGGGTTCAGCAGGCTCCCAGTGGCTGTCACCAGAGCCCAGTGGCTTTCTGGAGCTGTAGTATTATCCCATGCAGAAAGAATCTCCAAAGTCACCAGCACTAGAGTCCCACTGGTGAACTGGAAACAAAAGTGCATGAAGGGGGTCATAGGGGGCTTACTTGGCAAACTGCAGCACGCATTTGCAAGGGATAAGAATGTAAGCCCTCTCCCTTACCGTCTGTGGCACCAGAGTCCTTCCCAGGGCCCAACTCGGGATCTGTGTCCAGGCTGGAGTCCTCCAGCAATTTCAGCCTGAGGGTAGAGAGGAAAAGGGACAAAGCTGGTTTATAAGGCACAGTGCTGCTCTTACCCAAGATTCTCTGCTGTTTGCCGGAGAAATCAGGTTCATCACCATCATTACTACCACCACCACCACCACCATCACCATAATCACCATTACCATCATCACCACCACCCATCCCTATCACCACCATCATCACCATCATCATCCCAACCATCGCCACAAACATTCTAGAGTAGCAGACACTACACCAAGAAGCCCTTACACACACGAATTCACTTAACGACACAGCCAGCTTACACGAGGTAGGTACTTACCAGTAATACCATTCTCAAGGTAAACCACAGACACAGAGAAATCAAGGAACTTGCCTAAGTTCACATAGCATAATTACAGCTCCTACATGTAGTATGTGGTATCCTTTCACTGGATTAGCTCCTGACCCTTAGGATGAAGGGTCATTGCCCTATCCTCTCCTTTTCTATACAAGGTACAGAGAAGTCAAATGACCAGCTGAGCCTCACACAGCCATTAGTCAGCCAGGATCTGAGCCCAGGCAGGTCAATACAGAACCTTCTCTATAGTGGCTTGGTACAAACCTGTCACTAAATAACAGAGCTCTTCAAGCCCGTAAGAGGGAGGGAAGTATCCAAGGTATAGACCAACCATGCCCAAACCCCTGGAGCCCCATGCTCCCTGGGGTGGTTTGAATGATGACACCCACTAGATCATATGCTTGAATACTTGGCTCCCAGTTGGGGGAACTATTTGGGAAGGATCAGGAGGTGTGGCTTTGTTGAAGGAGTTGTGTCACTAAGAGTGGGCTTTGGGGTTTCAAAAGATTCAAACTGTTCCTAGTTAGCTCTCAGTTGTTCCTGCCACCATGTCTTTGGTCCGCCATCATGGACTCCAACCCTCTGAAACCTAAGCCCCTAATTAAACACTTTGTTTTTGACATCGCTCTGGTCATGGGGTCTTGCCACAGCAATAGAAACCTCATTAAGAAAACCCATCCCAAGCCCTGACTTCCTGGACACCAAGGCTCCATGGTGGCACCTCTGAAAGCTCCGTCAGTTTGCTAAAAGATGAACAAATACAGCCGGGCTGAAGCTTAGTGGAGTGCAAGGCCCTGGATTCCATCCCCAGCACTAACAAACAGAAAAAGAAAGGAAAGGCAATGGGCTGGGCTCAGTTAGTAGAGAGTTTGCCCACCATGCGTGAGCTCAAAGCTCAGTCCCTAGCATCACATAAACCAGGCATGGTGCCACGCACCTGTAAGACCAGTACTGAGGAAGTACAAACGGGAGGATCGGAAGTTTAAGGTTGGGGCTAGAGAGATGGCTCAGCAGTTAAGAGCACTTAGTGCTTTTCCAGAGGATCCAGGTTCAATTCCCAGCACCCACACGGCAACTCACAACTGTCTGTAATTCCAGTTCCAGGGGACCTGACTCCCATGGCAAAACACCAATGCACATTAAATAAATAAATTTTTAAAAACTGCAATTAAAAAAAAAAGTAGTTTAAGGTCATCTGCTACATGGCAAATTCAAGGCTAGCCTGGGCTACATGAAACCCTGGGGAGGGGGACACTTTCTAAGGGATAAATGAATGTAAAGAGGCTACACAATGGGATGAAGAAGGTGACACGCACCTGAGTTGGTCCCGCCCCAGGAGCAGCTGGCGATACACCATCTGGGCCTCAGCGTCTGGATCCAAAGGATCACTCCAGTCTCCCAGTGTGACAGCTGAGTGTGTGCGGCTGCAGCCAGCAGCTAGGGGTACACAATACTGTCAAAAAAGTCTTGCTCCAAGCCAGCAGCCTCTGCCCCATTCCAGGAGCAGTTGTCATCACATCCTGCCTTCAGTGTTCAATTCCTGTGCAAGTTTCTCCCTCCTCCACTTAGTCAAGTCCCACCTGTAGCTCCTGCCTGGATTCCAGCCTCCTCCCTGCACTCTGCTTCAGAAGCCACAGCCTCACAAACCCTGTCCCTCTTCAGCTTTAGCTGTCAACTTGACACAGTCTAGAGTCATCTAAGAAGAGAGTCTCAAATAACAGAATAGGCCCTGGTTGTATCAGTGGCAGAATGTGTTGATCATTAATTGATTTGGGAGAGCCCAGTCCACTGTGGATGGCACCATTCCCTAGGTAGGTGGTCCTGGGCTGTATAAGAAAGCTAGCCGAGTGTGAGCCTGTTAGTGAGCCAGGAAGCAGTGTTCCTCCATGGTTTCTTCTTCAAATTCCTGCCCTGACTTCCCTCAGTGATGGACCCATGATCTAGAAATGTAAGCCACATTAACCCTTTCTTCCCCTAAGTTGTTTTTGGGCAGAGTGTTTTATCACAGAAACAGAAGGGATGATGAAACAAACAGTATTAACCCATTAACCTGACTCAGTCCCCTTTGCTCAGGTTTGCACATCCTGGTTCACCATCTCTACTCAACTCTAGCCACTCAAAGCCACACCTCCTTCAGGCAGCCTTCCCCAATCCCTGTCCTGGGGCTGTGTCTCAGACACTTTCCAAGTCTCCAAAGCCTTCTAACACTGTTATAATTGTCCAGATGAGGCTGGGATCAGTGTCAGCGATAGAGCACTCAGGGCCATAAATTTATACCAGCAACAGCATAGCAACCTGTTATCATCACCATCATTGTCATTGTCATCTAGCCTCAACAAGTCAGACCGTGTGCTCTAGGCAGCTAGTACGTAGTGTGACTGTTGGAAACAATACTCATGTGTAGCTAGCACTATGTGCTGGACGGTGCTATGAGTATATCAACTCAGATCAGCTAAAAGAACCAAAGAGGTAAGAGCTATCCTCAACCCTGCTTCCCAGTCAAGAAGACTGAGGCAGAGAGAAATTAAGTCATTCCTGGTTGCACAGTACATTCACGTGAGAGTGGGACACCACTGATTGGCAGATGGGGAGAGTGGGGCCTGTAGCCAACCCCACCCCCTCACCTGTGCGCTCAGTCTGGAGGCAGCAGGTCCAGCGTCCACTGCGGAAGGCACCAGGGTGGCAGGCAGTCAGCTTGTCTTGGTTGGGGGCGCTGGCTTTACGCAGGGCTGACAGCCATTGGTTGAGGTCATTCACATTCTGCAAGGGGTCAAGGCAATCAGACCGTGGGTAAGACTGAGCCATGGTCCCCACCCCGATTGTGGTGACACCTTACCTTGCACTGGAGGTAGGTGGTGTGTGGCACCCTGGTGCCATCCTGTGTCACCACCTGCATGACATGTGGTAGTTGGAAGGCACCCTCGTCCACACGCTCCACGGCACGGATGCAGGACACCGGGATGGATGAGTGAACCTGTGGGCAGCCACAGGCAGCATCCCTTTGCATGTGGTACCAGGTAGAGTTGCCAAGGACATGTATTCAATTCTGAATAGCTCTGTTTTGTCTTCCCCACAGTCCTGCTCTGTCTCCTGCTGAGTGACTTGACTTTTCTAGGTCTGAGTTTGCTTTTATCAACATTAACATCACTGACCCCATCATCATCACCATCACTATCAACACCATCCCATAACCATCACCACCCTCATCACCTGTAACCATCATCACTATGATCTAACCACCACCTTCCTCATCATCACCATCATCACCAGAATTATCACCACTACTACTACCATCTTCATTGTCACCCTCACCACCACCATTATCACCCTCACCACCACCACCACCACCACCACCACCACCACCACCATCATCCTTGCCATGGCAGTTGCTTATGTAGCACTTGGTTGTGGCTTTCGGAATCTTAATTTCCTCAGCTCACTCAATTAACCATGACCACCTTCTGAGACTGGGCCTGTTATTTCCCCTAATTTGAAGATGAGGAAACTGAAACATGCAGGGAAATGACCCTGCCAAAGTCACTCAGTCTGTGGACCCAGCCTCACAACCCGAACAGCCAATGAAACGCATGCTATTCCCACATTCCAAGTCCTTGTTTCCCTCGGGTGGGTTAGGATGGAGGACAGTGGTGCCTAGGACAGAGCCCAGCACACATGGGCACACAGGGGAAGCTTGTGCACTGTGATCGAGCGGTTGAGTGGGTGCCTGAATGTGTATGCACCTGCACATGGCCAGTGAAAGGGATGGATCCTACGCAAGTCTGTGATGCTTGGTGTCAACCTTGTGGCCCCCACCCCTGCGTGTCCACACCTGGAAAGAATCTCCAGCTGTGAAATGTGTACCTGCTCAAGACTGTAACAGAAGGTGTCCTTATCCCTGGCCAAGTTGGCCCAGAGCTTAGAGCCAGCCAAGAGTTTGGAATTTTTTGCCTTAGCTGCTATGATATTAGAGAAGGGTGTCCCAACTCTCACCCTGGGCCTCAGTGTCCCGAGTACCCTAATGACATCTTCCTGTGGTCAGAGTCCCACCTGCCACTCTGGAGTCTTGGAGTAGGAGAGGTCCTGCCCACTTAGCCGGAAGTAGCGCTTCTTGAAGGCAAAGCGTGTGGCCAGGCCTGCGGGCTCCTCCTTGCGCTTCAGCAGGAAGCCTTCCCGAACAATTGTCGAGGGTTGGACCAGGGCACAGGCTGGCCCCCCAGCCTCTGGGAAATAGAGAAAGGGATGGGGGACTCTGCTATGTCTGGACCTCTGGCCCCTGCTGCACTGTCTACTCCATTGTCCATAGGCCCTGGCTATGACCTCTGACCCCACTCCTTCACACACACACACACACACACACACACACACACACACACACACACACACACACACACACACACACACTTAGTCCCAGCCACTAAGGCAAGGAACTAGGGTGCAGTGAAAAGTGGGACCCAGCTCCCTCTCCAAGCCCAGAGACCTGCAGGTGAAACTGTAGCTGGCCAGCAGGGGTGTCCAGTTAATCCAGGAATGTTCCCAGCTAGCCTCAAGCCCACTCAGAGTCCCAAGCTGCAGATCTCTCCCAGCTCCACCCCTCCCCCATCCAAGATCACCATAGCTGGCCTTCTCCATTGCTCCTGGTTACTCCTATGTGACCTGAGTCTCCCACCTGAAAGTGCCCTCTTCCCCAAGTCCTCTGCTTCAGAGGCACACAACACCATTCTACTCCCAGCACAAGCCCCAGTTCTCCCACAGCTGTCCAGAGCCCCGCTTTCTTCTTCTATTTCTTCTCCTCTTTCTCTCTTCTGCACTAGACTCTCTGTTCCCACCCCAGGGCCTTTGCATGTCCTGTTCACTGCCTGGATCACCCTTACATTGAAACTAGTTCTCCAAAGCCTAGCCGGAGTGTCTCCATCTTGCACCAAGATGCTCTTTAGCTATTCTGTGTGCCCAGACAGAAGCCAAACAAGCCATCCTTCCCCCCAAGCCAGTATTTCTGAGGCCAACAGATTTCAGATAAGAACAAACTGGAGTGTGCTTTTGTCCTGGTTTTGGTCTGTGTCTTGGTGTTGGAGGCGGCAGTCATCTCCACTACACTGACACTAGGTGGCACTCTGAACCCAGGGCTGCATCAGCGCCTAGGGGTGTGTGTGTGTGTGTGTGTGTGTGTGTGTGTGTGTGTGTGTGTGTGTGTGTGTGTTGGGCATGCTGGATGAGTCACAGGGAGGTGGCTTTGAGAAAATTCAGCAATGAGGGTTAAGCTCGGACTCCATCTGCACTCTGAACCCAGGGCTGCATCAGCGCCTAGGGGTGTGTGTGTGTGTGTGTGTGTGTGTGTGTGTGTGTGTGTGTGTGTTGGGCATGCTGGGTGAGTCACAGGGAGGTGGCTTTGAGAAAATTCAGCAATGAGGGTTAAGCTCGGACTCCATCTGCACTCTGAACCCAGGGCTGCATCAGCGCCTAGGGGTGTGTGTGTGTGAGTGTGTGTGTGTGTGTTGGGCATGCTGGATGAGTCACACGGAGGTGGCTTTGAGAAAATTCAGCAATGAGGGTTAAGCTCGGACTCCATTCCCTGGACACCCGGCAGCATCCCCACCTGGGAGCTGATGTTAACAATACTCTGAAAAAGTCATAGGGCTCACTCCAAAGCTGGGCCATCTTTCTTTCACTTCCCCACACACACCTCCCTCCCTCTCTCTCTGTCTCTCTCTCTCTCTGTCTCTCTCTCTCTCTCTCTCTCTCTCTCTCTCTCTCTCTTCCTTTCTTTCTTTCTTCAGACAGGGCCTCACTGTGTTGCTCAGACTGGACTCTTCTGTAGAGCAGGCCGGCTTCTCTGCCTTCTCTGCCTCTGCCTCCTGAGTGCTAGGATTGAAGACTTGGACTACCACACTAGCCGACCCCTCCCTCCTTTGTAACTCCCTGACACTCTATATATTTCTCCTTTGTAACTCCCTGACACTCTATATATTTGGCTATTGTTTTACAGCCTGCTCCCCCCACTAGAATGAAATTCTATGAATAAATACAAGATTTTCTTCTGTCTCGTTCACTTTGTGTGTATATACATATATGCATGTGTGTATGTGTGTGTAATGCATAATAGAGTTACTCCCCAGTTTATTTTATGAGACAGGACCACTTGTTGAACCTACAGTGGCTGGCCAGGGAGCCTGGAGGATCTGCCTGTCTCCATACCACCAATGCTGGTTACAGGTGGGTACAGCCATGGCTGGATTTTAGGTAAGTGTAGGGATTTGAACTCAGGTCCTCAAGCTTGCTCAGCAAGCACTTCACCCACTGAGCCATTTATCCCTCATTAACCACTTTATCCCAAGCATCTAGAAGGATATCTTTCTTTTTATTTTTCAGCGCTGGTATTGAACCTAGGACCTCATGCACGCAGGGGCAAGCTCCCCTCCACTAAGCCATAGCCCCAGACCTTTGAGATGGTGCCTATTATATAGTGGAGACTTACTAGCACACCCATACCAGAGACTCCATGCCATTTCCCTGCCACATGGCCATATTGGTAGAGATGACCTAACCAAGTCTGATGCAAATGTAAATTGACTGACCAGTTGAGCTTCAGGTCCACAATCTTGGTGCTGGGGAACTGGAGACCAATGGAGTGGGATGCTGAGTACTTCCCCACTCTGGGAAGCGGGGTCACAAGCCAGGACTCACCCTCATCCCCGTCCACATCCACCAACTGGTCCAGGAAGTCCCTCACACGTGAGATGCTCTGCAGCAGAAACGGGTGGAGAGGGGCCAGCCACAGCTCCTTGCCCTGGCCCAGCTGCTGGCCCAGGTTTCCAATGCTCTGCACAGCCTGGAGCAAAGGAGAAAGGAGGCCAAGGTCAGTGCTGAGGTGAGCGCCTTCTGCAACCTTAAACTCTGGTTCTCATATCTGTGTACCTTGGGCACTGTCTGATCCTCCCTCTCATTTTGGACCCAGCACCCCAGTTCCCACCCAGCACCCCAGTTCCCACCCAGCACCCCAGTTCAGCCCACCCAGCACCCCACTTCCCACCCAGTATCCAGCACTGCCTAATTCTATCATGTATACTTGGGGACCCATCAGAGACACAAGCTGTGGCTACTTTGGCTTAATCTATAATACAGTATAAATGACTGTTAGCCCACTTCTCCCATTTCTTTTGGAAGGAGTGAGTTTTCATGATCAAAAAAAAAAAAAAATGAGAGAGAGAGAGAGAGAGAGAGAGAGAGAGAGAAAGTGGGCTGGGCTGTAGCTCAGTGGTAGAGTGATCACCTCCCATGAGGCTCCATGTTCAATTCCCAGTACTGCCAAAAGGTCTGGGGGTGGGGAACAAATGAAAGCTAGGCACAGTGGTACATTTGCAACTCAGCACTTGAGAGGCTGAGGCAGGAGGATTGCCTTGAGTCCTAGGCCAGCCTGAGTAAAAGGGCAAGTTCTAGGTCTCAATGGCCCAGCAAGCCTGTGTCATAGAGAACAGAGACACCCACACAAGGAAACTGGCTTTCTTTGGTTCTTCTCCCAGGCTTTCCTGATGCTTCTCATTGTGATCTCTCTCCAGCTGAGAGGACCCAGGTGGGAACCCCTCCAGACCCCCCCCCTCTCACACGCACTCTCACACACACACACACACACACACACACACACACACACACACACACACCTTGGCGAGCAGCAGCAAGGAGCGACTGGTCTGGGGGTCTGCATGTTGGTCTCTGAGGTCAAACAGCTTCGGCGTGAGGATGGCAGGGGCAAAGAACCGTAGAAAGAGGAAACCGCTGGTGGCCAGGTACTTCGCATCCTGCCGAAAAATTCCAGATGACAGGCCCTGAAGCCCTCTTCCCAGCTGGGAAAACTGAGGTAGAAAACACTAGGTGCCCAGAGGAGGGAGAGGGAGTTGGGTCAGTAGACTTATCCTAACCTGCCAAGAAGCTTGCTCCTCTCTGCCTCAGTTTCTCTAGCTAGAAAATGAGTTGATGAAACTGATCTGACAAAACTGGTTTTAGCAGATTCCTGTGCTCAGAACACACAGCCAGAAGAGAGATGTCATTGCAACCTCAGAGAGGCCAAGTGGCTTGCTCAAGGTCACACAGCAGAGAAGTCAGAATTCAAACCCAGATCCATGACCTAAGGTTGCAAGAACAGGCCATATTCTTCTCCCACAGCCTTTACTTCTCACTCACTCTAGGACGGGTTACAGCCGGTTTTAGAGAAGCAGCAACTGAGGCCCAGATTGGTCATTTGCCCAAGATTACCCAGCAATCAACAGCAGAGGCAGCAATGTTTACCAGTCTTCTGCCATTTAGTCTCAGCTGCCTAAGGGTTAAATGTCAAGAGTACATTTAATCTGTTTTCCAAATGAGGAAACTGAGGCTCAGCAAGGAGCCCACGCTGAGTCCACGCAGTCCCAGTCCTTCGGAGTCCCTCTGTGAACTTTCCACGCTGGGAACAGCTCATTCTCCCACTGCTATATCAAGCCTAAATATGTATATCTATGTTTATTTAGGGATGTCAGTCACACCTATGCCAGTAGCTACCCTAGAGTGCAGTAGCTTCCTGGGCATGTCAGCCTTGCAGTGAGCCATGCTATGTCTGTACCTTAGGCTTCGGTGAGAGGGACCCTTCTCAGCCAGAGCCCTGAACTGTCCCCAAACCACTTCCTCTCAGGCAGGTCCCCAGGTTATTTTAGCCCCCAAAATTAGCTCATCAAGGTACACAGGCTTAGTGGCATAGGTCTGTCATCCCATGTACACAGGGCCGAGGCAGGAGGGTCACAAGTTCAAGGCTAGCCTGGGCTACAGATTGCAGGCCAATCTAGGCAAGTTAACGATACACTGTCTCAAAACGGAAAGTAAAAAAGAGGGCTGTGGGTGCATCTTACCACTGGAGAGCTAGCCTAGTGTGCATGGGGCCCTGGGCTTCTCCCCAGTGTCACAGAAACCAGCTATGGTGGCACACTCCTGTGATGCCAGCATGTGGGAGGGGGAGGCGGGGGATCACAAGTTCAAAGTCACTGTGCTAGTTAGTTTTGTTTTTTCTTTTTCTTTTTCTTTTTCTTTTTTTTTTTTTGTGAACTTGACACAAGCTTCAGTCACCTGGGAAGAGGGAACTCAATTAAAAAAAAAACAAAAACAAAAACAAAAAAACTGCTTGATCAGATTGCGTGTAGGCAAAGCTGTGGGGGCATTTTCTTGACTAATGATTGGTGTAGGAGGGTCCAGCCTACTGTGGGTAGCATGATTCCTGAGCAGAGGATACTAGGCAATATGAGAATCAAACTGAGCAGGCCCTGGAGAACAAAACAGTGAGCGGTGCTCCTCCACGGCCTCTACTTCATTTCCTGCCTCCAGGTTCCTGCCTTGACTTCCCTCCAGGATAGCCTACAAGCTCTCTTTTCTCCCCAAATTTGTCTTGGTGTTCATCACAGCAGTAGAAAGGAAACTAGAACTGTCATCCCTGGGTGTGTAATAAGTTAGAAGAGGCCAGCCTGGGCTACATGACACACACATGCACACACACTCAAGCACACACATTCATGTACACATAAACAGACTCACACACATGTACACACACACACACACACACACACACACACACACACACACATTCAGAGGCTGCTGCTCAGGGCTCCCTACCTTCATGACCTGAGAAAGTCTGTAGTCCCTGCCCACTAGGGACACATGGGAGGCTCTGATGTTGGCTTCCTGGGCTAAGCTGAGAGGGGACCTGGCCTCCTGATTTCTTTCCCTCCTCCCTACCTCAGCTGTGTCCCACTTAACACCTCTGAGGCAGCCCAGGTGAGAGCCAGGCTAAGTGGGATGCAATGAGTCACCTCTAGATGGGAGGCCAGCCCTCAGTCCTATGGGGGAGGGGAGAGAATCTGGGGAAGAGATCTCCAGCTTTCTGGGCCTCAGTTTCCCAATCTGTAAACAAAAAGTAGAGAGAGGTGCTATATACATCCAAAACTCTTAACTCAGACTGCATGAATTGGGCTGTGACAGCTCCAGCATTCAGCAGGTTCTGGATCTTTCTGCCAAGGGGGTCTGTATTTAGCATTGGGGAAAAGTTATTATGACTGGAGCAGGAGAGTTGTCTCGGTGGTTAATAATGAGTGCTTAGTTCTGTATTAGAGGACTCAAGTCCAGATCTCAGCACCCCCATCAGGTGGCTCACAAACATCTGGAATGCTAAGGACTCATGATACCCTGTGACCTCTGAGTGTGAGCACACACACATATAAATAAAATAAACCCTCAACTGAAGACAGCATGAATGGCATCTGTGTTGCCCAGGCTAGCCCTGAACTTATGATCCTGCTGCTGCAGCCTCCAAAGGAGCTGGGATTAGAGGCCTGTGCCACCAAGCTCCCCATGACAGTCACCTCAGGTTGCGCACTGAACATTATGAAACAGGGATCTCAGGTGGGCGGTGGTGGCACACACCTTTAATCCCAGCAGCACTTAGGAGGCAGAGGCAGGGAGATCTCTGTGAGTTCCGGGACAGCCAGGGATGTTTGTTACACAGAGAAATCTTGTTTCAAAACACCCAAACCAAATAAAAAACAAAACAAAACAAAAAAAAACCAGGGATCTCAGAATGGTAGCCCATGGTCCAGGACAACCTAAAAAGTGGTGGCTGATTCCAAGTAACTCTTGCTTATGTGTCTGGGTGAATTAGCCCTAACCTAAGGTTTCCAAACTGGGAGACTTTACAAAGAATCCTGGAAGTTGGCAAGAGAGAGAGAAGAAGAAGTTGGCGGGGGAGAGAAGAGGAAGAGGAGGAAGGAAGAGAAGGGAAGAAGGAAAGAAGGATGAATGGCAGAAAGGAAGAAATGACGATGCCATGGTTAGCCCAGCTCAGCTCAGCCCAGCTTGGAGCAAAGGCCTGTCCATCATCCCAGATATTCCAGAGGATGAGTCAGGAGGACTGCAAGTTCAATGCCTGCCTTGGAAACTTAGCAAGGCCCTATTTCAAAATAAAAAAGAGAAGAGAGAGCTGGGCCTTGGCTCGGTGGTAGAGTACCTGCCTGGTGTGTATAAGACTGTGTGTGTTTTAGCCCCAGCAGAGTAGTGAGAAAAAGGACTCTGCAGGAGCAGGGGACTAGGCCACTGGCCTGAGTAGTCCCTGTAGACAAGCTATGGGGGCTATGTTTTGTCACAGTCTCCACCACTCCCTACAGTTCTGTATCTGCTCTGTTCATGTACCTCACCTGCCCAAAGCCATAGCTCCCAGTTTCCATCTTCTGTATCCAGGCTGGGAAGCTGAGCCCCTCAGAACCCACTCAGCCTTCATCCTGGCCCTGTCCTTCTCCCTCCCTTCTGCTCTCATCATCACCAACACCACCATCATCATCAACACCACCATCAGCAGCAACACCACCATCATCACCAACACCCCCATCATCATCAACCCCCCCATCAGCACCAACCCCACCATCAGCATCAACACCCCCATCATCATCAACACCACCATCAGCAGCAACACCACCATCAGCAGCAACACCGCCATCATCACCAACACCACCATCATCATCAACACCGCCATCATCACCAACACCACCATCATCACCAACACCACCATCATCATCAACACCACCATCAGCAGCAACACCACCATCATCATCAACACCACCATCAGCAGCAACACCACCATCATCACCAACACCGCCATCATCACCAACACCGCCATCATCACCACAATCTATGTGGAATATTATTTTAACTGGCAAAGATGTGTTACATTTGTTTATGCTGCAGAATATTACTTCAATTGTGTAAAGGTATGTTGCTTTTGTTTATGCTGCATTGGTTTAACTATGTAAAGATGTCTTGCATCTGTTTCACCTGGCCTGCCTAAGGCACCTGATTGGTCTAATAAAGAGCTGAATGGCCAATAGCTAGGCAGAGAAAGGATAGGTGTGGCTGGCTGACAGAGTGAATACATAGGAGAAATCTAGGCTCAAGAGGAAAAAGGGAAGCAGTGAAAGTAAGAAAAGTAAAAAGCCTCCAAGGCAAAAGGTAAATAAAGACAAACAGGTTAGCCAGAAAGGAGCCTAAGGTCGGCTGAGCACTCATGACTAATAATAAGTCTCTGTGTCATGATTCGGGAGCTGGTTGGTGTCCTAAAAGAAAAGGCCTGGTACAATCATTACCACATCACTACCGTCATCATTATCACCATCACCATTACTGATGTCATCATCATCACCATCATCACCACCATCACCACCACCATTATCATTGGTCCCCTAGGTTCTAGGTCCTGCCAAGAACACTGTTCCTCTGCCAGAACACACATACTTAAGTCTGAGCAGCCCAGATCTTGGTGTCACCTTTGGCCTGCAACCCTGGACATGGTGCCCCAGCCCACCCCGACATCCGCATCCGCATCAGCCCCCACAGAACCCAGCCCACCTGATGCTCCACCCCAGGGAAGCGTTTCTCCACACACCGCTGTAGCTGCTTAAAGGCCAGGCGCAGGGCAAGTGGACAGCGCCCTGCAGAGCTCACAATGGCATCCACGATGGACCCCAGGTATCCGGTCAGCAGCCCCAGGCTGGTCTCTCGAACCTGCTCCTCTGTTGGCGTGCCCTTGAAGGAGATCCTCCTGTATGGCATAGGCAGAGCATTCAGTCAGAACACCACACCTGCTGTCTCAGAACCCCCACCAGCCTCCATTGTGTCTCCCCTCACATCAGACTCCCTGCTGGAACCTGAATACTCCAGAGTCCCATCCCAGAGCCTTCACAGTGGCTGCTCCTTTGTCCTGGAATATGCTGGCATGCAGCTAAGTGTCACCTCCTCAGAATGGCCATCATCCCCTGTCATTCATAGCTACAAGCTCTAGCTGTGGCTATCTTCAGCATGGCCATGTCAGATGCATGTTCCAAACCCAGACCCTTGGCACATACAGTTCCCACTGCCTGGACCCCTCAAGTTCTCAGGCCCTGTACCCAGTCATGGCCCCTGGCATTGCCCCATGTAGTCCTAATGGCAATTCATGAGTTGAGTATCTGACTACTCCTGTTTAACAGGTATGGAAACTGAGGCCCATCAACATGACTTTGCAAGTTTGTGGCAGACCTGAGATTAGAAGTCAGGACCAACTCCAGTATCTATCTGCAACCCTGCCCCACCCAAGTCCCCAGTGTCACATCACCCATAAGTGCCACTAAGTCTCCCATGGTCTCCAGCTATACCCTAGGCGTGTCACAGACAACCCTGTCCTTATGTTTGGGGTCTGGGTTCAAATTCCCAGTTGTGTGACCTTGGGCAGGGGCCTCGCTCACTTGAGGGTCAGTAAAGAAAATGCTGAGGCCTGTGTCTGAGGTGGTCCTGAGATGTGGGTCCTAACAGACAGCCTGCATCTAGCTCTAAGGGTTTCATGGGAGCCAGCCCCGGATTGTAGCAAAGAAGGCTCTGGAGAAAAAGGAGGAGCAATCCATGGAGGTGTGGAATGGCTTTAAGTCACCACCTAGCTTGCCTCCAATCTCACAGAAGGTTCTCAGGGCCCATTTTGCAGATGAGCCCCATGTGGGCCTCCATCATCTCCCAGCATTTTGCAGACAACCCCCATGTGGGCCTCCAGCACTACCTCTGAGCTTCACATGCAAAACCTGTAAGTGCCCCTAACACTCCCAAGTCACAGGGTGTGGGAGAGGCAGAGGCGGACTCCCCCAGAACAGCCTGAGGTGCCATAGCACACAGAGGCCTGAAGGTTACATGTGTCCCTAGGCAGGTGGCAGCATAGAGCAACCCAAGATGGCTGCAGATGATAAGGGGTGGCTGGAGGCAGGAGGCACCCCGCCTCACTCACCGGGAGCGGTTCAGCTCCATCTTGCAAGGGTCCAACTCCATGTATTTCTTCTCCTCGAAGACGCGGCTGACCACCGGCCTCAGGACCTCGTGTAGGTAGCGCATGCCCACGAGCTGGGGGCAGGGGCCACACGGAGCGGCTAAGGGTGGCAGGGAGTGCCCTGGGCTGGGGCAATGGGGAGGGGGTGTGCAGGGAGATTTCAGAGCCAGGCCAGCTGTGTCCAAGGGTGCCGCCCAGGGCTGAAGCCAGGCACCTGCCACCAGCACCCAGCACAGCCATCTAGTGCCACTTGGGGCCAGCAGGCTCTGGGGACCGGGTGATCAGGGGAAGGAAGCCACATGCACCCAGACATGCCAGGTCCCCACTCACCTTCATGAACTGCTCCATCGACTTGGATGCCAAGGAGTTAGAACGGAAGAGGGTGTTGGGGTCATCTGGGAGGATAGGGGGATGTGTTTGCTGGGGGGGGCTGGACTCAGCTTACCCCACTCACTCAATGTGGAGATATGATTCTTTTGGCCTCAAGAATCAGGAAGAACCCCAAAATGTCAACTTTATCCATAGCACAGAAGCCCAGAGTGGTTTGGCAAGCTGCCTGAGGTGACACAGCACCTGAAGCTATGCATGTGCTCTCAGCCTTCCAGGGTTCACAGCATAGATACCCCAACACATAAAAGTCCTCTAAAGAACCCCATTTCTCCCCTGGAAATCCTCTGCAGACCAATTCTTGGGGAGTGACATCTGTATGGGAAACTCACTGGTTCGAGCCACCTCACGCCTTGTGAGGTAGTCTAGAAAGGGCCCAGCCAGGCCCCGGCCCAGGAAGAGCTTCACCAACTTGGTGGCAAGGTCTTGACGACAGTCCCCAGAGGCCAGCTCCTCTAACACAGCCAGGGGGCTGGTGGTGTCCTCCTGAGCAGGGACAGAAGAGACAACAGATAACCCGAGGCCCAAAGCAGAAGAGTGGCCCTGGTTCCTGAGGGAGCAGAGCTACACCCAGCAACCCAGGTGGAAGGACCTGCCACCATACCCACCTCAACTGGCCCCTGTACTGACTCTAGAAGCATTTCCATGAGAGGCTGATAGTATTGGGAAGGCAGGACACGGTCCTCAGTGAGGCGCACCTTCAGCCTCAGGGCACCCAGGCTCCCCCTACATGGAGCAGACCATAAGGAAGGGGATGTGAGTGCAGGCTAGCCCAAAGCGAGAGACTTGAGCATGGGAAGGGACAAAGAGGTACAGGGGAAGGGGAGAGGAAGGCAACAGGGACAGAAATGGACAGGGAGAAAGAGGATTGGGGGTCCCAGATGGTATGTGGAAACTCCACAGCGGAGGCCATGGCCAGGCACACAGACACAGGACTTACAGAACAGCAAGTGTAAGCAGGGCAGTAAGATGTGGGTCTTATGGACACAAGTGGTGCAGTCAGTTATGTGAACAGCGTGGACAGGAATAACCAACCAGGAAACGACTGAGAGGGACAGGGAGCTCTGTGGTCAGTGTGCACAGTCAGTGGTAGCTACTCAGGACAGTGGTAGAGCTCTTACCTAGCACAGCCAAGGCCCTGGATTCAATTCCTAGAACTACATATGGCCAGGAAGGCAGGCGTAAGGGAACCAAACATTCTAATATGCATTGGGTGTGTGAGCCTGTCTATGGTGGACAGCTGGTTGGGCCAAGGGGCGCTGTGTGGGTTCACAAAAACATCCTGGGGACATGTGACTAGGGCCAGAGGGACAGGTCGGGCTGGTGCCAGCACCCAAGATAATCTGTCCATAAGCTGAAGTGGTGCCCCTCCCTAGGCACCCACATTTACCCAGAATCCTCAGGTCTAGGAAAGGGTAGGAGGCGGAACCAGCCGTTGGGTGGCTTCTGCTGGAGGGTCTGTGGGGTGAACTCCACCTGTGGGGAACACAAAGACCTCATCTGGGGGCCCTGTCCTGCCTGACACAGAGCCCACCCAGCCCAGGAGGGAAAGCTTGGATTGCCATCCACAGATGCCATGTGGCCAGCCAGGGTCCAGTTCTTCCTCTCTCTCAAGCCAGGGCACTTAGGGCCTCTAGGAGACACTTAATTTACAAACTGAGAATAGCTAAGGCACTGGGAAGTAGTGGCACATGCCTTTAATCCCACCACCTGGGAGGCAGTGGCAAGTTGAAGGCCAGCCTGATCTACAGAGTAAGTTCCAGGACAGCCAGGCCTACACAGAGAAACCCTGCCTCAAAAAACCAAAAATAAAAGAAAGCAAGAGAAAAAAGCTAAGGCTTGGAGAGATGGCTTGCCCTGGGCCACACAGTGACCCAGTAGTGAGCACAAGGTCACTGTCATAGCCACAGCCTCAGACAAGAGAAGAGCTAAGAGCCACAGGGCTTCGGAAAAGCCACTTTGATGTTCCAAACCTCAATTTCCTCATGTGCAGAGGGGGGCAATGACTGTCAATCTCACAGGATGGTGACAGGGTTAGGTCAATGCCGATGGCTGGCACCAGTACACCCAGGAGCCTTGGGCCCACCCTGTGGCCTCAGATAGGTCCTTGCCTCCTCCACAGCCTCAGTTTTCCTGACTGTCTCATGAGCAAAGAGGCTAGGCTGGCCATGGTACTCCAGGCAGCTTGAATGCCCATCTTCCATCCCTATCTCATCTGCCTGCTCATGGGAGGTACTGGGGAACCACAGAGGGCATTTGTTAGTGAGAGGGACACTCACCATGCCCAGAAAGTCATTCTTGCCCACCATGTCCCAATCCCAGAGCTCCACTCGCAGTGAGGACATGGTCCCCGGTGCTTCCCGAAGCTCCAGCACCTCATCCCAGTGTGGGAAACGGGTCTTCTTGATGGTCTGAGGGTGGAAAGGGCTGTGAGTGGGAGTCATGACTGGCTCTACCCACTGAGGAATGCCCCATTCCTGCCTGGCTGTCTGCTCACCGATGTTTCCAAACTATGGCTGCCCCAAAACACACGTGCAAATGGGTCAGAAGTGCCGGAGATGTCCCTGGGGGCCAGGTCCCTGGGGACAGAGGAAGACAATGGGTGTGTGGTCACAGGCCTTTGAGGACCCAGAGCCCAAGGCAGGCCTAGGAAAGAGAGTTGAAACTAGATCATTCTTTTTTAAAAAAAATAATTTGTTTAACCTTTATTTTATGTGCATTGGGGTGAAGGTGTCAGATTTCCTACAACTAGAGTTATAGACAGTTGTAAGCTGCCATATGGGTGCTGGGAATTGAACCCTGGTCCTCTGGAAGAACAGTCAGTACTCTTAACCATTGAGCCATCTCTCCAGCCCCTGGCTAGATCGTTCTTTTGTTTGTTTTGTTTTGTTTTCTATTTCAAGACAGGGTTTCTCTGTGTAGCTTTGGAGCCTATCCTGGAACTCACTCTGTAGACCAGGCTGGCCTCGAACACGGTGATCTGCCTGCCTCTGCCTCCCAAGTGCTGGGATTAAAGGTGAGCGCCATCACTGCTTGTTGAAACTAGGTCATTCTAATGGCAATAATCTGTTTCCAAGGCAATGAGCCTGTCCATCACAGGGGCCCAGGCCAGGTCCATCACTGCACCCACGCAGACCCGCAGTTTCCAGACACAAAACTTTTGGGGAAACATGAGATTTCCCAAGTTCCCCTGATTTCCATAAGGGAAAACTGAGGCACAGAAAGATCAGACTCTGTATCATAAACTTCAGACAGGAAAGGGACAATGGGAATGAAAGATTGCCTCAGTCTCCCCAGAAGCTCTACATGGAGTGCTACAGGCATGAATTCAAAACCTGACCTTGCATTCACTGGTTGAGTGACATTAGAAAAAGTCACCACCCCTCCCTGAGGCTTAGTCCAGAAAAGGACAGTAACAGATCAAGTTCATAGGACCAAGGGTCCAATGAAATGACATAAGCAAGTAAGTTACTTAGTGTAGCATTGGGCTCAGCTCACTTATTCATTCAACAAACATCCATGCCCACACCTTGCTTAGGAACAAAGGGAAAGAACGAGACATAGACATCCTGCCTGTGGTTACCATGACAACTCAAAGCCTCACCTGAGTCAGCTTCCCCATCCCCCTTCTAACGGCCCCCAAATCCTGGAACACCCCACCACCACCAGGGGCTGTTTCTTCCTCCCATTTTCTTCCCAGCCTTGCTGGGCATCCAAAGCCTTTGGTTTCCTAGGAACCAACACAGTTGCTAAGCGACAGCAATCGGTCCTTCTCCTGCTTGCAAGGATCCTGTACAGCCTAGTGTCTGAGGAGAGGGTCATGGGCAGAAGAGCTGAGTTCAGACCCCTGCACACAATCTGGTATCTGGTATCTGGTTCCCTTCCTTCTTGGGTCATTCCTCATTCATGCTTCTGCCCCATCCAGCTGGGGCCAAGGCTGAGACCTGAATCCAGAGGTGGCAGGAGAAACTCAGAGAGGGCAAGGAAGGGTCTTATGGTCACACAGCAAGCTAGAAATATGAATCCCGTCCTTAATGTGTGTGGGTGGAACCTAAGAGTGAAGGCTCCAGGAGGAAGGTAAGTGGAGCACAGAAAGACATGGTGTCAAGAGGTAGAAGCTGTAACACAGCTGAGGGATGTGAGCGGAGGACGGGGGCATTGAGGAAGGCCGAAGGGAAGATGGGTGTGGTCTCTAGAGGCCGCCTCTGGGTTTCACTTGTCCCGTGTCTGTTGACTTCCTTCAGGCTTTCCTAGCCACCCTCCCTCTCAGCCCACAAGACTCCAGTGTGACCCCAGGTCAAGCCAACAATAATTAACCCTGGGATGTTCTGTAAAAGTGAGGTGCTTGGTCAGTTGTACAAGCAAAGTTGGTAGGTCACCAACACTACCTGATGTCACCTTCCTGGATCCATCATGCCTGAGGCCACCCATCACTTCAGTGAGCCAATAATTAAGACTTCTGCCCAAGAAGTAACAGTCTGCTATTTATTACTGTGCCTTTGTATATATGGCATGTGTGTGTGACTGTGTGTGTCTGTGTGTGTATCTGTGACTGTGTCTGTGTCTGAGGCTATGTGTATCTGTGATTGTGTGTGTGTGTGTGTGTGTGTTGTGTCTGTCTACCTGTGACTCTGTGTGTGTGTGTCTGTGTGTGTGTGTGTGTCTGTGTGTGTGTCTGTGATTATACATTTATACACATGTGTGGAGGTCAAAGACAACTTTCAAGAGTTGGTTTTCTCCTTCTATGAGTTCTAGGAATCAAACTCAGGTCATCAGATGTGAGTGGTAAGTGATTTACCTGCTGAACCATCTCACCAGCCCTGAGCTGTTAAAACTTAATTATTAACACCCTCCCCACATCCATCTA